CGGAACTGACCCAACAAGTGCTCCCTGTCCCAATGGCGCCCAACGGGTGGCCGCCATAATTTTCGATAGTCACACGGTGACTATCAGTTAAGGCGGTCGATGTGACGGGGCAGCCCGTTACATGGAATTGTCACTTTAAGAAAAGTGACAATAAAGAATATGAAGTTGAATATTCTTTAAACAATATCACCGAAGCGGTGATATTGAAGGGTCGACCAAAGTGTCTGTTCATTGGTTGATATCTTGATGATATCAACCCACCAATCGCCGCAAGACGTGCGCAATGAGTGGTGACGAGACGTCACCATACACTCAGTTATATTAGCATAATTAAGTTAAGTCAAACAGAGAGACAGTAGTTCAAAGACTTAATTATATTAATATAACAGTTTTACTTTTACCTTATCCTACGCTTCCTCGCTTGCCTTGTGTACGTCTGTCGGGGCACCCGAAACCCTTGCGTTAAGTTCAAGCAAGGGTGTGCTCCGTTACAGTACTGGTCAGGTGGTTGGCAGCGCCGGTGTAGACCTCACCATGACGCTCACCATGCAGATAGATTAGATTACAGCGTAGCATTTAAAGTAGATCGATATCACGGCGTTTGGCTCGGTTCCGAACGGCCAGAAATACGACAAAACTGCTTCTGCTTGTGCGTCGGGCACTTGGCTTATAGATGAGCTGCGTGGTGTTTAACAGCACCTTGGCGTGTATCACGACGACTGAACGCTTAGCCGTCACTACGAGCGTCATTACAGATGCATTGATGGTGAGATGTAGGTGGGGCCAACGCAGCACATGCTCGAGGGATTGAGTTAGGAGTCGCGTGCGTTCCACAACGGTTGTTTTGACATGCACAACTTTGTCGAGGCCGTCAGTGGGTCAGCGAAGGATGCGCCAATGCTAAGTCCGAACTTCAATTCGCTGTTGGACAAGCTCGTCGAGAGCAAGATTGCCCGAACGCAGCGGAGCACAACTTGTGCGGGTCACCTTCGTACGAGCCGTTGCATTTCATTGTGCGGGCTGAAGCTGATGCGCTGAACCAGCCAAAAAACCGTCTCAAGTCTTGTCATGGTGCTCGAGTATCTGAACGGAGAATTGAGATGTCGGGTGAGAGCGCGACGAGCCAGGTCATCTTGAGGTGGTTTGTTGAAAATTGACTACGGCAGGACTCTGATGAAGACTATCATCATACCAACCACAGGCGAAGTATTCATCACTATAGAGAAAATTGTCATGATCCACTAGAGCTGTCTAGACGACCTGATGTCAGGCGTTGAGGTACTGTACGTGAATGAACTAAATTCAATCTGACCGCGTATGTTAGCAACAGTTTATTGACACTACCATACAAGTCGAGCATCGCACCATGTGACCGTGTTCACATCCTTGCCGGGATGCGTAGTAGATTGTATTGTTTAATGAGGTTCTCCACAGTCATCAGGAGCCCTGAATCAGATTTGGCAGCCTTTTTGTGGCTTTGCAACGCCTTGCGCGTTGAATGGAGGAAGTCCGTGGCCAGCTTGTGTTGTGCGGTCAAGAACAACCGATTCATTTCTCGTATGAACCCCTGTCGACCGCCGTATGCTTGAACAATGGTTTGCAAGTACAGGAACTCAGCTCGGTCCTTCTCGATATGCTTACAATAGGCCTTTAGCACGCCGGTAGATGACCCCTCTTTGAGAAAAGTCAATAGGGGGCGGTCGCGTAGTCCGAGTAGCCCGAGCACTTGGGAAGAAGTTTTGCCTTCCTTGGCCCACTTCGGAATCAGCATGTTCGATAACTCTTCCAGTTTTGTTTGCTTCTGCACACCGAAGGGCAACTTTGCCGCTAGTTGCTTGTCTTTCTCATGGAGTAAGGTTAGAAGGCGCCGCACATCGCTCGCGGGCTGCTCTTCCAGCGATTGCGTCGCGAAACGCCTCGTAGCCCCTTTCATTGACACGGTCTGCATGTGGTGTGCGAGGAACACTCTTAGGGCTTCCACATCATTCGCAATTCGTTGAGGTACGTCCATGACTGAAGCCGAATTGAACCCTTTGAAAACCCCTTCCATCGGCACTGCCGATAGTTGAGACCTCAACAACCTGTTGGGAGGTGAGCGTTCGTCATCGGCAGTCAGGGGAACGACTGCAGGGCCTTGGCGTCTCATCTGCGTAGGACGTGCAGCCTCCAACCCGGTTACGGGGTGCAGCAGGGAAGCGGGCGAGACCACAAGGACGAGGGTGAAGACGCGCATGTTCGGTGGATGTCGACAGAAGCGCTGGGAATGCGAAATGACTGAGAATTGATGACAAGGGACCGCTTGCTCATCGGACTTGGCCTAGTGGTACGAGAGTTGTGATGAAGTAAATCCTGCTTTCAAATTGTCCATGTTTCTACTGAATTACTTTTTCGATGTGCTGTCGTCGGTTCTTCTTTGTACATGAGACACCTCCATGGTGTAAGCTCGTGAGCCCAAAATATTCAACTTGTGACAAACATCACTTAGTCGATCACCTGGTGAACCTTAGTGACCGTTTTTTTACACACAAGTACCAGCTCTTTTCTGGAATGGGCATGTATAAACACTTTGCAAGAAGCTGTTTGGGGTCCAGATGGGACGGGATCAGTCGACGTAAAACCAGCCAGCACATGAAGGACCTGTATATTGCATCTGAGAAATGCTGTTCATTACACTGTTCATGCATATCGCATCTGAGCGAGACAAGAGCACGCAAGGTCCAACATGCACCGTCCAGCTTCTACAGCCCAGTCGCACGACACCGCAGGCTATACGGAAGCATGTGGCCCACTGCATCAGCGTCGAGGGAAAAGGTATGCATCCCACGTGTGTGAGTGCAAACAGTATAGGCTGAAAATTGCTTGGTACTGGACGGTCTTCCTGGGCAGTTCAATGTGTTGGTCCAAAGCAGCTGCACAACGAATCTTGCTGCGACCATCTTAATCAATCAAAACTTGACTTAACTGGATTGACCACGACTGGGGGCACACCCCACTTTTGCTAGGGGCACACCCACCTGCCTAGAAATGATAAAAGGGACTTCACATTTTGTAGTACAGAATAATGTACGTGTACAGTACAGTGCAATTGTATGTAAAAGCACCCAACCGAATTGCTGAAATTGTTTGGACCAGGGCTCTGGAGGCTAAGATGGGAAATTCCATCTACTGCGAAGAAAAATAACCTGTCTTTAACACCTGTCTTGGCCGCGCAATTGCGTCTATATCCCCTCATACGCATACAATACGACAGAAAACACCGGATAATAACACGCACCAGCTGGACCACTAAAATGGCGTACGAAGGCCCGAGAGAGGAACAACGGTTGCTAAACAGCTCCAATCCTCACATATCGCTCTCATTGGTACCAGCTTTCCTTTCAGGAACGAAATGGAATCAATCTTAAACGGTTTTGCGGCTACCCAAGGGTATGCCATCGTCGTCGCCAGATCAAAGAAAATAAGGCGGGGTCTGCAACAGG